CCTACGGAAGGTCAACGCTCACCTCCAAGTTCCTAAGTTCAAGTACGAGGGCTTGGGTCGGGTCGCGGAGATCATTCGCCCAAACGACTGGATGTTCACCATCGATCTGAAGTCAGGCTACCACCACGTCGAAATCCACTCATCCTGCTGGAGGTATTTGGGCTTTCAGCTGGATGGCAAGTTCTATTGCTTCACATCTTTACCTTTCAGCTTGGCAATAGCCCCGTTCGTCTTCACCCAGCTAATCAAGCAACTGGCCAAGAGATGGCACGCGCGCGGAGTGCGCGTAATTCCATACGTGGACGATTTACTCTTCCTGTGCCATTCCGAGACGCAAGCCCGTTCGACGTGCATCGAAGTTCTCCAAGACCTGAAGGCGGCGGGATTCGTGATAAATGCCAAGAAGTCAAACCTGCATCCTACACACCACTTGCGCTTCCTGGGGATGGAGCTCGACACGGAACGAGGGATGTTCCTCATCGGAGAAGATCGGCGTGAACAACTACTGCACGAGCTCCACCTACTCGTTAAAAAAGGGCAATCGGGTCGACAAGTGCCGATTCGCAAGATAGCCCGAATCACCGGATTTCTAAGCTCCATGTCGCTCGCACTAGGCACGACGGCGCGTGCCTTCAGCCATGAGCTGCTGCACTTGATCGACTCCGTGCGGTCATGGAACGCGAGGGTCAAATTGTCGCAAGTAGCAACGGAGGAGCTATTGTTTTGGACAGTCCACTTCGATCGTTTCATTGGTGCCCCATTCCACCAGAGTCAACGGTTTGATGCCGTGATCCACGTCGACGCAAGCGCACACAGCTGGGGTGCCACCTTGGCCAAGTTCCCCAGTGCATCATGCGAAGCAAGCGCATGCATGCCACGCGAGCTCCTCCGCACATCCAGCACGCGACGAGAGCTCGAGGGAGTGCTCTGGGCACTGCAGACGTTCGCAACCCAAGTTGCAGGTGCTCACGTCCTCGTCCGGGCCGACAACCAGGCAGTTATGTTCATCTTGCGCAAGGGGGGGTCCCGTCAGGCGGACCTTACGCTGACATGCCAAGCAATCATCCAGTTCTGCCTCAGCAACACCACACGCCTCGCGATTGAATGGATTCCGAGAGAGCTCAACGTCCAGGCAGATGACCTATCCAAGCTGCAAGATCATAACGACTACTCCCTACACGCGCCCTGGTTTCGCCTTCTAGACCGTCGTTGGGGGCCCCACACAATTGATCTATTTGCCAACGCCCGGAACAAACAAGTTCAGCGCTTCTGCTCCAAGATACCGCATCCCGACGCGCTCGCTGTCGATGCATTTTCCATTTCTTGGAAAGGCGAGAGATGCTTTGCCTTCCCGCCGCCACACCTAGTCCCCGCTACACTTCGCCATGCCGAACTCACGCACGCGGAACTCACGCTGGTCGTTCCTCAGTGGACCGGGGCGTCATGGTGGCCGCTTCTCCAACCGTCCACCCAAGCGTGGGCTCCAGCTGTAGTGGCACACCTTGCCATTGCCCAAGGCGGTCAATGCCTTCGGGCAGGTTCACACACCTCTGCATTTTCTGGTCTCGGATTGCCTCATAGCCCAATCATTGCTTTGCGTGTAAACTATGCAATCTAATACAATCCATTAATGTGTCATTTCAGGACTGTTGGGCAAACTACAGAAACAACTTATGCACGTAATTAGTCACGTTCGCGCACCATCTACAATCGAGACGTACCAACCTTATTGGCAGAGATTTCGCACCTTCTGTTCCGAAGTCAAGCTTGACTTCCTACCGGCAACCGACCTGACGCTAGCATTGTATCTCATCCATGCGCTCAACAACAAGGCAACTCTCTCCGCGATAAACCTCACATGTTCGGCAGTGGCCTTCGCCCACGGCATGACAGGCGAAGCCTCCCCCACGATCGGACCATTCACCCTGCAAGTGCGAGAGTTCGCCAAAAGACATGGTCCCCGGCCTGCCAAGACCAAAGAACCAATATCTCTCCATCAAGTGCACGACATGGCCCGTCCCTTCCTCGAATCATCGATTCCTTTCTAAAATTTTGTATTGTGAAAAGGGGTGCGTGGCCAACACAACAAAGGTAGCGCCAAAGCGCTACTCGCCCTCTTTTGCCTACAAAAGAGGGACGTGGGGACATTCGTCCCCACCCACGTTTTCATTTCTCAATTTGTAGTTCTAATTTCCCACCCGCCCACACCATTGTGTATGCTGTTATGTAGACTTGTATACGACGAGAACGATGTACTAGAACCCATATGAAATGATAACGCTGCCTTTGCAAGTCAGCCTAAGTAGACTTTCACAATATGCAATTCATTACTGTAGAGGCTGCTCCTAGCGAGGACAGCCCGAGCACTTCGCGTCAGGATGGCTCAGCCTACACTTTCGCACCGAGCCAATTCCGAGTCGCCCCGCACCGATTGCGACATTCCCAAGCCACGCACACCTAGATAGAGGTTCTCGCCGAGCTAGTTTTCGCCCTATAAATGCTCGCTTTCTTCATTGTTTCAGCATTATGTAATCAGTCTCTTTATAGAAGTCTTCCACGCACTCTGTTTAGTACAACTCATAACAGCGGGAACAATCATGCACGCGCTAAGCATGGATGCGAAGGAAGGAGAATGAATTTTCTTTACATGACAATGAAGGCCCCTTGTTTGTTACAATTTGCATATTCCAACGAAGCCCTGAAATAACCCTACAACCACCTCCTCCAAATAATCAAGGTAGCAACTACCATACTTGTGGTATTCTAAGATTTGAAATGTTTGTAGCATTCCTCTACAAAAATGCAACTGCACACTGCAACCACTTTGGGTGGCTGACAGGGTGCAGCTGTAGGGCGAGATGGGGGAGCAGAGGTGCTGTGATTCCAGGTGTGCGCATTGGAGAGAACAATGCGCACACCCCTGTGGCCTCTGGGTGTTCAAGTGCTGCCCAGTACACGTGGTTCAAGCTCTCTGGACGAAGCATGCACCTGTGAGGGTCACCTGCTTACTGAATGTTCCTCACACCGCACTTGCATCATTCACTGCCTCTCCACCACTTGCTCCTCCCCCTCGCATCCCTCCCCCTCCTCCTCTCCCTCCTCGCTCTCCTCCGACTCGCCGCTGCCCACCTCGCCGTCGCTGTCGCTGTCAACGGTGGAGAGGGCGGGCGGCGCGGCGGTGAAGGTGTAGTTGCGGAAGAGGGCGTCGGCGCCGTGCATGGTGGGCGTGCCGGCGGGCGAGTCGTGCACGGGCATCTGCGTCCACATCTCGTCAAAGTTGGCCGTGCACCGCTTGCCGCCCATCACCGTGGGGCGGAACAGCGGCACCACCTCGCGCGCCTCCAGGCGCCCCCAGTGCACCCCGCGGAACCACTTGTGCCCGCGGATCTCCTCCACCCCCCGCGCCCCGCTGCCCAGCCGCTTCGCAGGGTCCTTCTGGAGCAGCTGCAGGGGTAGGGAGGGTGAGGTGAGGGAGGGAGTTGAGATGGGTCGAGGGGGGTACTTCCTGACATCACACAGAGCGCACGACAGAGTGTTTGTACAGTAAAAAGCGCGGCTAAGTGCGAGGAGCCTTGCTATCTAGCCTACCACCTCGCACTCCCACCTGCCCTCTCCATCCCTCCCTTTTAGCAGTAACCCTTTCATCCCAACCTCCTCTCATTCGAAACCCCTCGTCCCACCCCTCCTCGCATTTCAGAGCAATGGAGCAAGGCCTCTACTCACCCCGCGGAGCAGCGAGTGAGCTTCGCTGGTGAGGTACTGTGGCAGCTTCACCTTCTCCTTCACGATGCGCTGCTGCAGCTTCTGCCTGTTGCCGCCTGAAAACGGTGGCTGAGGGGTGCACGGGGCGAGAGCGCCAATGCATAGGAGAGATTGAATACTCAGGGTAGGAGATTGTGGGGGCGGGCGCATGGAGAGAGGATGGGAAAGGCAATGAGAGTGCTGGAGTGTGGCAAGGCGGATTGGAGAGAGGAGGAGGGAGGGCAGTGAGTGGTCTGCAGAGAACCAGTGGTGGGAAGGAGAAAGAGGGAGCGGCCAAGGGGTATGATATGCCATGCCATGTACCATGCGGCATGGCCATGCACGACCAATCATACACACCATCCCACCAGCATCTCACCTGCCCGGTGAGCATTTCGAAGAGCAGCACGCCGATGCTCCACCAGTCGGCGGGGAAGCCATGGCCGTGCGCCTGGATGATCTCGGGCGCCATGTACTCCATGGTGCCGCACAGCGAGTTGCTCCGCGCATCGCTCTCCCTCACCTCCTTCGCCAGCCCAAAGTCCGTCAGCTTAATCTGCCCGTCCCAACCAGCGGAGGGACAAGTGGGGGGGAGGGGGCGAGGGGGAGTGTGGCAGGCAAGGGGTGGGATAAGAAGAATGCCAAGATCAACAAAGGGAGCGAGAGGAGCAAGGAGGGGCGAGGTAAGTTGTGGCAGGCGTACAGGCGAATCACATGGGTGGTGCGCCGGCATGCCTTGTGAGGTGCTTGGGAGCCAAGCAGAAAACTAAAGGGGCACTCTCCCATGCCCGCGCCCCCTCCCTGTGCTTGCATGGCTCATCAACGTGCTTGCATGGCTCATCAACGTGCTTGCATGGCTCATCAACGTGCTTGCATGGCTCATCAACGTGCTTGCATGGCTCATCAACGTGCTTGCATGGCTCATCAACGTGCTTGCATGGCTCATCAACGTGCTTGCATGGCTCATCAACGTGCTTGCATGGCTCATCAACGTGCTTGCATGGCTCATCAACGTGCTTGCATGGCTCATCAACGTGCTTGCATGGCTCATCAACGTGCTTGCATGGCTCATCAACGTGCTTGCATGGCTCATCAACGTGCTTGCATGGCTCATCAACGTGCTTGCATGGCTCATCAACGTGCTTGCATGGCTCATCAACGTGCTTGCATGGCTCATCAACGTGCTTGCATGGCTCATCAACGTGCTTGCATGGCTCGTCAACGTGCTTGCATGGCTCATCAACGTGCTTGCATGGCTCATCAACGTGCTTGCATGGCTCATCAACGTTCTTGCATGGCTCATCAACGTGCTTGCATGGCTCATCAACGTTCTTGCATGGCTCATCAACGTGCTTGCATGGCTCATCAACGTTCTTGCATGGCTCATCAACGTGCTTGCATGGCTCATCAACGTTCTTGCAGCGAGCGACAGTACTGACATGGCCATCGGAGTCGAGCAGGATGTTCTCGGGCTTGAGGTCACGGTGCATGATGCCCCGTGCGTGCAGGTGCCCCACGGCCAGCACCAGCTCCGCCGTGTAGATGCGCGCCAAGTCCTCACTGCCTCGCATGGCACATGGGGGGGGTGGGAGAGAAAGGGGGAGGGGGTCCAGGGACGCGTGGGAAAGGGGAGTGATAAGGGGGAGCTGGGAAGTGGAGGGGATGCATGTGGGGCTTGGTAAGGCTGTAATTCTGATGGCACGTTCAAGCAGCCAGTAAAAGGCTAACTTAGTGGCGGTACCTGAAGGTGCCGTGGCGGTACCTGAAGGTGACGTGGCGGTACCTGAAGGTGACGTGGCGGTACCTGAAGGTGCCGTGGCGGTAGAGCTGGAAGAAGAGGTGACCGCCGTTGATGAAGTCGAGAATCAGATACAGCTTTGCGCTCGTCTGCCGACGGGTGGTTGAGGGGGACGCAGTGGGGCAGAGGGCGCGGAAGATGGGGGGGGATGAAGTCACGCACACCAGCAACGCCTGGCCGGCTCACACAGCAAGTTATGAGGGGTTTGGAGTAGAGGGGTATGGCGAGCGAGATAAGAGAGGGACGGGCATGCCGCGGCAAGGAGGCGGCGACGGCGGCGGGGGTGTGCGCACCACGGACGGCATGTGAGGGGAGGGCGAGGCGTACCCGGAAGGGGGAGGGCGAACCTGGGGGGAGAGGGGAGGGCGAGGCGGGGCGGACCTGGAAGGAGTACTGCAGCTGCACGACGAAGGGGTGCACGACCTTGGTGAGGATGTCGCGCTCCGCCTGCATGTAGTCGCGCTGGTTGCGCTCCAGGATGCGCTGCTTCTTCATCACCTTCATCGCGAATATCTCGCCCGTCCACCGGTGCTGCACCTGCACGCGTCCGTCGGCCAAGGGTTTACGGGAGGGTTGTCAAGGGTTGTGCGAGGAACGTGACGCGAGCGCCGCCTTGCGGCGTGCCAAACTACATCGGGGAAAAGGACGTAGGTGGAGGACGAGGGTAGGAGCGGGGACCACGGGGGGGAAGACAGTTGCCTCAAGAGCGCAATCGCGCGTGATGGCACCTGGAAGACCTTGCCTCGCCGCACCTGGAAGACCTTGCCGAAGGCGCCCTGCCCCACCACTCGCAGCAGCTCGAAGTCTTCCGGCCCCACCTTGTCCGCCTTCTCCGCCGCTCCCCCCTCCTCCCTCGCCTCCATCGCGCCCCTCGCATCACTGTCCCTACCGCCCTCCGATCCTGCTCCTGCCTCGGCCGCTGCTGCGGCTGCCCCCTCTCTCCCATCGGCCGCCATCCCAGCATCCAACATCACACGTGCGACGGCCTTCCTCGGCGACTCCATCGATCGCACGCACGGCGATGTTCCCATCAGCGACGGTCGCGCACTGTCCGGTTCGTCCAGCGACGAGCGGCGGCTGCTGGATCGCGCGACGCTCTGCCGCGGCGTGATGGGCGCGGGTCCCACGAGCGAGTGCGAGCGGTGCGTGATCACCTCCGGCGGCTCCTCGCCCGCCATGCCCGCCGCGCGATCCGCGAGCTGCTCGTCGGCCATCCAGCTCGCCAGGTCGTCCTCGTCCATCTCCGCCACCGTGCGAAGATTGCGACCGCTCGCCGTCGCCAGGCGACCGGACGACGCGTCGTGCGACGAGTCGAAGCTGCTGGAAGACGACAGCCGCCCGGAAGATGCGGGCGACGGGCCGAAGACGTCGTCGAAGTCGAACTCGTGGTCGCTCGCCTGCTCGACGCCTCGCTGCGATGGCTGTGCCTCGGGTTTAGGCTTTGGTTGAGACTGCTGCGGCTGTCGCTGCGACGGCTGTTGCTGTTTCTGCTGATGCGGCTGCGGCTGCGGCTGCGGTTCCAACGCTTTCTCCTGCGCTTCCGGTCTGGGAGCGTTGCGCCCCCACGCCTTTACTTGCTGCTTCTTAACTGGCTGCGGGCCTACTGCCTGCGACCCTTCCTGCGACTCTGCCTGTCGCACAGCCTGTACTGCCCCCTGCGCTGCTGACTGGGCTTGCGACGGCTCCTGCGACTGTCGGCCCAGCGAGGGCCACTGCAGTACCGCCTGCGGCCGCTGCTGCTGCGGCGGCATTGGCTGCTCGGGCTTCTTCTGTGGCTGCGGCCTAAGCGCGTCGAGATGTGAGGGTGGGTGCGGGTCGGCGGCCTTGGGCGCGGCAGCAGCTCCGGTTTGGCAGGACGAGCGGTGCAGCAACGCCGACGCGTAGCTCACGGCAGACCCGCGCGCCACGCCCGCCTGCCGCCGCGCTGGGCCCGGCACGTCCACTGGCTTCGTGACGATCATGGCGGCTGTGGGCGGACGGCGATGCGCTGACTGCGATGGGGAGCTGGAAGATCGTTACAAGTCCCTACAGGATATACACGCAAGAGCTCTGATTGGCTGAATAATTTAGTGTCACATCACTTCCATCTTCCAGAACACACCGAATCGCATGAACCGGGCTGTGTGGATTTGACAATACAGACGTATTGTTGAAAGACAGGCAATAGAGCTATGAGCGAAGCGAGGATGGGGTGGAAAATGACAAGAGCCAGTGTGGCTGTTGTTGCATCTGCAGGTGCAGCTGAAGGGGTGTGTGATGTGACTCTTTTGGTCTGGCCGTTGGTGCTGCAAGCCCATGAAGGGGAGGACGAGGGTGGTGGTGGTTGTTGGTGAGAGCGGGTGGGTGGCGCTGGCAGCACGGAGCAACCTCAGCCGCAACGTCTTGGATCCGCTTCGGCGGAGCTGGCAGGAATTGGAAAACAGTTGATCCAGCCAGCACAGGGAATCTCTCGAATCTCGCCTCCCTCATCCGCCGCTCCGCCTCCAACATTTCCCGCCTCGCGCAGAAATCGTAAGCCGCCGGAATCAACGGTGAACCCAACCCTGGGACGATTCCAGTGGCCAGCGTGGCAATGAGATGACGCTGCGATCATTGTAGCGATCGGGGTCCACATATCGTTGATGTAATGAAAGCACGAGTTTCATCGACGGCTGAAACCTGCTGGGAGACTTTCGGGGCCTCACCAAAACGGTTTCCGACCCACACGCGTCAGCAAGCGCTTAGCTGAGGCTTCCAAGGAGCGATGCTGCAAAGTTGGAGGAGCCACCGTTGCCTCAAACAAAAAGCCCAAAGCGAAGTGCGAGTCAAAAGGCAAAACCGCCGCCAAAACGGCGTGCGTCCGAGGCAAGTAAGCCACGTTTAGGTGTTCACTCAGGTGAAAGCCCAAAACCCCTATACACACGATGCCCGGTTGAGCCCCCCAACCTTGCCTTGCTCTCTTGGCGTAAAAGCGATTCTTGCACTTCGCGACGGTTTCGCCAATTCGCACCTAGCAAAAAGGGCTTATAAATAAACATTGTAACTCGCCGTTGACTGTTTGACTTCTGTCTTTTCAGTCAAACTCAGGTTTCTGTGGTTACTATTGGTTCAAATCACAACCACTTGCTCGAAGTGCTTGTAAATGGCGTGCAACTTCACGGCACAAAACCCACGGGTGCAAGGTTTTCCATCCGGAGCAAGGCAATTTCGCGTGCAAGGGGTGAGCATCATGTGTACACCTGTTTCTTAGAAGTGTCGCTGTGCGCTGTTCTTGTGTTGTGCTGTATTACACGATGTGCTCTTCACCCTGCTACGCCAAGGACATGCATTCATGCATGACCCCCTGCATGCACGCCCCCTCGTCGCGTCCCCTCCCGTCCCTCCCGTTCCGCCCCGTACCGTCGCATCCCGCCCCTTCCGCATGCTCCTCTTCCCTCCCTTCCATTTGCGTCCGGTCTCGTCGCATCCCGCCTTCCCGTCACGTCCCCTCCCGGCCCCTCGTCGAGATTCTTACCTTCCTGTGCCGTCCCATCCCGTCCCTCCAGTCCCTTCCAGTCCAGTCCTGTCCAGTCCCGTCGCTTCCCGTACTGTCCCGTCCTGCCCCATCGCGTCCCTTACGTGGCGCGCCTCATTACCTGGACATGGTTCACGATAAGCACGGGATGTACCCTGGTCGCCGCTGATACTGATAAATGAAGACCTAATTTCAAGTTTATAGGTCGGCCGTATATGCTGATCAACGAGAATCTAACTTTTGTGTAAGAGGTAACCGCGGTTGCTAGTGGAAAGAGTTTTACTCTTGAACATGAGCCTAGTGCTAGTGCGAAATCGGGTTTCTGAGTTCTGTCAGTCTCATATTTTTCAGCTGTTGTAAATGCTTGATTCGTGCGACAACCTGGTCGCCGGTGGGGGAGTTTGGGCGATCGTGTTGTCGCCGTGCAGATGTGTTTTCCAAACCTACCTAGGTGCACGATCGCATGATTGGTTTGGCACGTCCCTGCACATACCGCCAAGCAAGTTTGTAGGTTCCCAACCAATTGTTTCAACCTGGGCCAACCTTCAGTGGAGTTGTGCGACAGTTTGAGGGTTACCGGATACCAAGCGTTTAACACTTGGTTGGGACACAGAAATATGAGACGCGAGCTTTAAAATGCGCTCAATGGTGAACCGGCCTTCGCAACAGGCATAATAAGAGCCTAATCCGTCCACGACATAACATGCGTAAACTGGTAGAATGTAAGAACAGCAAAATGGTGATTGACTACCAAAGCAAGGTTGGGATACAAGAAACCTTAAAACCGGAGGTCCAAGAGTTTCTAAGTTAGGAAGGTTGAAAGGGGAGAGAAAGGTGACTGGCTCGCGAGCCAGGGTGGTGTCGAAATCAGTGGTAGAGGGTCGCTAAGTATGAAAAAGTCGCGAGTGTAACCTGATCTGGAATGCTACGTCAGAACTCGTCGCTGACTGTTTCGGACGGGCTGCAAATGTGTTTGCGAAGTTGTCACCGCTATCGTCCTCGCTTGAACAGTAATTTCGCTTGGCGAAAATCGTCCCAACAATTTGCGAGGAGAGCTCGGTATTAACTGGGTCACACCCAACCGAAGTTAGGAAGGTTGAGGCAGTTTCGGACAGTTTGGGACTCCGGTTCTAAAGTGTTGTACCCCATGTGGCCCACTGTAAGCTAAGTGGGGAAACAAACGGTCACAAGAGCAGTCAAAAGAAGAAGCAAAGCAAAGCTCAGTGTGGATCTCAAGAACACCACACAGTCTGAGCACAAGCAAGCAGCCACAAGGCCAGTTCACAGGAAGTGTTATAACAACAAAAGCTGTACAATGATCAGAACCTAACAGGTGTAGACATGCAGGTATACATATATATAGCAGAGTACAGCAAGACTAGAATAAGATTAGAGCAAGTGAGGCAGAGTAGGTACCATGCCAAGAGTAGTGCAAAAACGCAGATGATCACCAGACCCAAGGGCCTTGGTGAAGATATCAGCAGTGTTGGTCTGGGAGGCCACGTAGGAAAAGCGAAGCTGACCACACTGCTGCAACTCTGGCACGAGAAAGTAACGAAAAGCTATGTGCTTCATTCTGCTCTCGAGTCTTTGCTCCTGACACAAGGCGATCATGGTCTTGTTGTCAGCGTACAGAGCTGGTGCAGAATGAGGCTGCTCTCCCAAGTCAGTGAGCAAGTAAGTCAACCAGCGTAAATCCTGCGCAGCCATAGCCCCAGCGTAGATCTCGGCCTCAGAGCTGGAGCTGAGCACATGAGAAGAGCGAGTGGAACTCCACGAGACAGAGCCAAGGCCGAGGCTGAAAGTGTAGCCCTGCGAAGATTGGGAAGTCGCCAAGTCGTCGGCCTACGAAGCGTCTGAGTGCCCTATGAGCACAACTGAACCCCATCCCCCAAGCACAAGCCCCAAGCCTGATGTACTAGCCAAGTAACGCAACACCTTCCTAGCAGCCGACCAGTGCCCAGGGCGATATCTCCCAGGCGAAACGTAGCGCGCCAGGATGCTGAGAGGCCAGGCCGAGTGCACGTCATCACTACGGCACTACGGCAGGTCGCTGCTGTGAAGAACCGGGTGTTGGCGACAGTGGGGGACAAGCAATGGGTTCCCTACACCAAGTGGTATGGGAGTGCACCAGCAGTCAACATGCTGAGATCCTACGGCTGCATGGTGGTGTTTCATGTGCCTAAGGAGAAGAGGGGAAAACTGGAAGCTTCTGGGAGATGGGGTGTGCACTTGGGGCTTGCTAAGGATCACAAGGGCTGGCTGATTTGGGACTTGACCAGCTAGCAGCTGACTATGTCGAGGGATGTGAAGTTCCTTGAGTCCTTGTACTACAAGGAGTGGAAGCAGCAGTAGCAGAAGTTTCCCACTACACCGCTGATCATTGAGGCTGATGAGGTGCAGCGGCCTTCGAGGCAAGTGCAGGTCACTGTCTCAGAGGAGGAGATTTCTGGGGTGACTGAGGATGGGGGAGAACCTGAGGTGGAGGAGCAGCAGCAACAGCAGCAACAAGATGCTCCACAAGGTGCCGTACGTCCGGCTGACCGTCCAAGGAGGGATGTGCGCCCTCCTAACCGGCTGACCTATCCGAGCTTTGGGAAGCCAAGTGTGGTAAGGGCTGGAAGTGTGGCTGAGCAGTGTGATGAGGAGGAGATAGCGCACTGTTACTGGGCAGCCGTCCCTGAGCCCAAGACACTTACTGAGGCCTTGAGTGGGCCCGATGCTGAGAAGTGGAAGCAGAGTGTGAAGGAGGAGTATGACTCTCTGCTGGAGAACGAGACATGGGAGCTGTGTGAGCTGCCTCCAAGGAAGAAGGCCATTTCTTCCAAGCTGATTTTCAGGCACAAGTACGGACCTGATGGGGAGCTGACCCGCTACAAGTCAAGGCTTGTGGCTAAGGGGTTCCAACAGACAAAGGGGAAGGATTTTGATGATATCTTTGCTCCTGTGGGGAAAGGCACTACACTGAGGACGATGTTGGCAATGACTGCAAACCGTGGCTGGAAGATCAAGCAGATGGACATAATCACTGCCTTCCTCAATGGAATCATTCTGGAGGAGCTGTACATGTTGCAGCCTGAGGGGTTGGATGATGGGAGCGGCAGGGTGTGCAGGCTCAAGAAGGCCATCCATGGCCTGAAGCAGGCTCCTCGCGCATGGTACCACAAGCTGGAGGAGACACTGCTGGCTGGGGGGTTCAAGAAGAGCGAGGGTGATCACAGCCTGTTCCTGCTGTAAGAGAAGGAGCAGTTCCTCATGCTCCTGGTGTACGTGGACGACATCCTGCTCTTCTCTGAGTCATCTGCGATGATTGAACGTGTTGAGGAGATGCTGGAAATGCAGTTCAAGTGCTCCAAGATGGGAGATATGAAGTACTACCTTGGGATGCACGTGGAGAGGGACCTTAACAAGGGAGTGTTGAGGTTGCACCAGAGGAAGTATTGTGAGGGGCTGGCTGAGAAGTATGGG